AATGCGTATGAAAATCACGAAAACAGCACAGAAATGGTTTAATAAACCAATTCAATAAAATGTTATATCGAATATCATATATGTTATCATATATATTATATCATATATGTTATATGATGTGCCATTATATTGCATATTGTATTGATGAACCTTTTTTAAATATTTTTTGGCATGGCTACCACTGCAGGAACGAAATATTTCATATTCTTATATGAAAATTGTGCAATGTTCGTAGGACTAACGTTTCAGTGACCCATTATTTTGTTTTTTGAACATGTACCCATCATATATTGCCGTTGTCCTAATCCTTTCTCTGCCGATGGTATTCAGTGTATAATTAAGTCAACTTGGACGGAAAGCCGTGAGATCCTTCATAAAACCCTGTTACCTGGTTCATAAAACCTAGTTACTATGCTATCTTTGATTGTTTGGAGTTAATGTATTTGCCTCGCTTTACCAGTAAGGCGCAGTAAACGCTGCGCCATTTGAAGCACTGTTATCTGAACCTGAGTGTGCATTGCTTTCGAAGGCAGTTGTCCATTGTCTCTTTTGAATCATTTGACCGGACGCATTGCGGTGGTGTTAAAGAAACTGTTGGGCGAATTAGTAATAGTAGTGTTAGGTGATGCCTATCAGCTCAGGTGATGTGCCTAAAAACTAATAGTGGCATATGATGCCATTTATAAGTTCTTGTTAGGAGCGAATTTGGGGTTTATACTTATTTACCTAATCGAGTCTGTAAAATTTTACCTATTAAATGGCGAATCACGAAAAACAAGCCATTTTTGCATACAGGTTTTACGTCTGTTTTATAAGGCTGCTCTTTCTGTAACTTATTAAAGTCAAGATGGCTATCCTGTTTTACTTCTGTCTGTCTTTTTCAGTTAACATCTCCTTGTAGTTTTAATCAAGCCAGTTGTTTTTCTGACTTTTACCGAAACAGGCTCCTTTTCAGGTAACCGACGATCAGGCAAAGCGTAGTGAGAAAGGCGAAGAATACGTACTTTGCAATGGCATGCTTTCTTACGATCTGAATATGCAAGGGTCAGATGTCAACAGATCGGTGTACCAAGCGAAGCCGATTTCTACGACAGGCTCTAAACTCGAAGGCGACTATTTGAATATTATTCTCCTAGTTTTCCTTTATATTCTACAGGGCGTGCCTTTGGGACTGACCGCCAGTATTCCGCTGATCTTACAAAATCGGCATGTAAGCTATAAGCAGCAGGCTGCTTTCAGTTTTGCATACTGGCCATTTAGTCTGAAGCTGCTATGGGCCCCTTTAGTCGACGCATGGTACTCGAAGAGGTTCGGTCGAAGGCGAACATGGCTGATTCCCACTCAGTATTTGATAGGTCTCTTTCTGTTGCTCTTATCACATTACGTTACGGGAATTCTTGGGGACGATAATGACCCGGCGTGGAACGAAGACAAGAAGCCAAACGTTTTTATTCTGACCGCATTCTTTTTCATGCTTAACTTTTTGGCTTCCACCCAAGACATTGCCGTTGATGGCTGGGCGTTGACCATGTTGTCCAAGTAGGTGGTTCACGGCGAAATATCCATTGCAGACATTTAGCGTTTCTCTGTTTTAGGCGTAACGTTGGCCACGCGTCGACGTGCAACTCGATTGGGCAGACGGCCGGCTATTTTCTGGGTAACGTAGTGTTTCTGGCTTTGGAATCGACCGAATTCTGCAACAATTACCTCAGGTTCACTCCGTCCGACCGCGGCATCGTCACCATGTCCGGTGAGTAGTGGGGAAGTGCTACTCGTATTGTTTGAAATGTAAAGATCAGACGATAGTAATTGCTCGTGTTTCTTTTCAGAATATGTCTACTTCTGGGCGATCGTGTTCGTCGTGTCCACCACGATGGTGATGTTGTTGAAGAAAGAAGGTGAGTCAAGCGGCGAGATCGGCGGTGGTGGCAACCATGATACGGGTGATCTCAACGTGTTGAACACTTACAAGTGGCTGTGGCGAGTCATTCGACTGAAGCCCGTACTGATTTTGATGTTTGTTCACCTCACTGCCAAGGTAAGTTCTTGTCTCGGTATTTATTTGCCTTTCAAGTGTGCGGATCAGTGTTTGCAGTTTCTGCCCACAAGGGATCTGGAAGTGATTCAGGAGCCGACTCCAGTAGATTAAGACGGTGATGCTGCTCAACATTTGTCACCGGTACTTGCCTGTGACTGAAATCCTGCTTAACGCTTCACTTCTCTATGTCCGTTCAGCTGAATGAAGGTTTGGGCGTCATCAGTTATTCTTCGCGAGGTTTGGTGCCCAGAATGGAATGCCAGACGATCACTTACCAAATTGGTAGGAGGAAGTAAACCCGGTAGTAGGAGTATGGGTTGTGATCTGAGCCATGGTGTGGGTTCATCTATGGCAGAAAGACCAGAACGTTGTGAATCAGT